TTCTAACTTGGAAAACTGTGTGTAGCAGAAACGTGAAAAAAGAAACGATGGTACTAGGTACGATACACAGCGTACCGCTTGATGCCATCGTTTCGTTGTTTAAGCCTAACAGGAACATTATTTAGATTAGCTAGTCTTCGTGTTATACTCGAATGACAACTCGAAGGCCATCTGTAACTGCCACGATTCTTTCGCTAGCAATCGACTGTAATGGTACTGCACGAATTGCGGGAACGTGACCATAAGAGAAACTAATTCAGTGCTGAATCAACAATTGTTGCTGTTCTACCTATCTAACTGGACTATATATGCACACATAAAGCTCCTGTCTTTTTAGATACTTGACTCCATGAAAACTAAGGGTTTTCTAGATCGCCTATTCCATCATTCTCTCTTATCTGTTCAATGTTTACAGCATCAGCCGCCGACCCATCACGAATGGCTTCGACCCATAGGATCGTTGTTGCCGTCATCACCGTCGCAAGCCCGGCGATCTCACAGTGACTAAGATATGAACGTCTGGCAAGCTATGTCCTACTTGGACATTGAAAAGAAACCGGATACTGCCGAACCAAAGCGTTACGCAAGCGATCTTGTAACCGCTCAGGATGACGCGGACAGATCCGACACGTCCACACGTTCGCGTTGCTCATTGATCGGCCTAAGAGAATAATATGAAACATCTGCTGCGTCCGCAGCATCGACATATTGCATATTGATTATCGCTGCAGGCGGGCTCTCTATTGATCCAGTTGGAAAACCAGTAGTCCATGTAAATCATGGCTCCAATGAACGAATTATACAGGTGCACCATGATCCGACATGTAATAGTTGCAATTGAGCACCATTCGGCACCAGGTACGATACCGTGGGCCGTAGATATCATGGGCAACCGTATAGACGGACGAGGGTCATGGATCCCATTTCTCGACTACAATATGATAACTGGCTCCGATTAGCGGATAAATAAAGATAATGAGATTGCCAATGTTGGCGTCGATGCCTAAAGCAATGGAGAATTATTTTTCCTATAAATTAACAGTATGTACAACGGTACTAATCGCTCACTATGAAGCCGTCGTTAAATAAAGACAGAGATGGCAATTATAAACGTTGCCAAATCATGTCTTTCTTTTTTTTGGAGAAACTGCATTGTGCTATCGGATTTTCTCTATAAGCTTGTCCGGGATAGTTGTAAGGCATATAGGTATATCCTTCCTTAATGATACCGAGCAGCTTCTAGAGTTTCTGATCCTGAGTCAAGTACGAAATCAATCGAAACGAAATGTTGTTGTGGGCACTGTTTACTGGGGAGAAATAGGGTTAAGCTCCTTAAATTTGACTCAATTAGCGCCCACAACCGGAACCAACCGACGACTTATGACGCAGTAAACTTAAACATTTAAACTACATAATTATGATATGATCGTTTTTTTTTCATTTATGGCATCATCAACGTGCGCTATAGTATTCAGTGATTTGATTTAATCTAATAATAACAATGCATACATATTTGTTCGGAGGATTAAATTTAATAGAAAAAAAAACCGATCCTGTCCACGAGTTGGGGCCGACTGTGACGGCTCACCCGTAGTTATTTCGAAGTGAACAGAAGCGAAGCTAGTGCTAGAAAGCGGCGAGGACGATTTAATTAATACGACAATGGCATCGAGAAATAATTAGGTTTCGTTACTATAGTTATCAGGTATGTCGTCCCTGGATCGCTTTCTTGCAATATATTCTTATCATTAGCATAAGTCGTTGAACTGGGTTCATTACTGAGCCACTTCAGCTCTACTTTCGCTGGTGACTATGATAGATAAACGAATTTAGTAATCTCTTGGCCGGGTTGAAGGCCTCATCTGCGCTCGCCATCGTTCGAACCCCCTAGTCATCAGCCTATCGCCATCATTTATTTCTATTTCAGATCGATTTGTAATTCCAGCCAACTCAACCCACATACGACGAGTTTGTATAGGAAAGCACCGCGTATTTATGCTTGTACCCATTTAGCGGTGCGCTGTCCGCTGCCGTTATAAATACTGCCGTACACGCATTCGACTATTATCAGATCGTCTCTAATCGGAGCTACAGCTGCTGCTGGCGTTACGTTAGGCTATCGAGCGTCATGTACAGTTCCATTACCCATCGATGTAGCCTTGTATCCTGAAAGTCAGATATCGCTAGTTATGACAATAATGATTGTATCGGCCCTGGCGATGATGACAATGGTAGTGACAGACGACGGAGGGAGTCAGTCAGTCAGTCAGTCAGTCAGCCAGTCACCTGAACGAGTCGACGGACAAGTGCAAGGCGTATGCCATGCCGGAGAGAAACAGATTACTGTGTTCGCGGTATTAGACATTGCTTGAGAAACAGTTGCTATTACGCATGCTAATACTGTTAATAAATATGTATGAATGCTGGATGTTCAATTTCGTCGTTGAAGTGAATACCTTTGATGAAAAGGCTATACAGTCAAAGGCGTTAAATCTCTAGATCTTCAGCTTGTATCGATATTGGACAGGTGGACGTTAGACGCTAACGGGGGTTAGATAGTGATTTGCCTTACTAGTTTTTCGTAATCTGTCTAAAAATGTTTTTCCAATTATTGTCCTTGGATTAAACCAGTGGGTGCGTTTCACGTCAGTCTTCAATTGTATGCATACGTAGAAGAATGCCATATCAGTTGTTAGCGAAACTATAGAATAACGTATGATCTTACTTTTACTTCTGTAGTAGAAGAGCAATTATAATCAGGTTGAGGGTTCTATTCGCCGCGTTCCGCTACTACATGGTACGACTCAGTTACCGGCTAAGCTATTAATGAGAGCTGTTCCCTCAATAAACTTATCGACGAAATTTTTTTTGTACGGCCAATGATTTCATTGACTTGATTGAAAAAAAAAAAGCGAAAACATTAATTTAATTAAGTGAAATTATAGGTCCTTAAAACATATTTCGAAAACATATTATACAGACATCATACGGTTAACAGCTTGCGTCTCTTTTGAGCCGGAAAAATCGATAACGAAGTGTCATTCTATAATCTATTCATCATCATTCTATCATGCGAAGCTATCTATGTCGCGCTTGTATTATTCAGAAGGCCTTCGTTCGTGTAGTACATTGGCAGGTCAACCTACGACCAAAAGGTTTACTTCCACAATCAGCTATGTATTATCACGGCAGGTCAAGCATTCTGGGGGAGTTTTTTGCTTTTTCAAAAAAAATATTGTCATTTTTCGATCAGGTTTAACTTGAACGTGTGTAAGGGTCCTCGAAATCGAACACGCCGCCTGTATGGCGCTCTGAAAATTTTCGAGTGTCGTAACTATTAATAGATAGAAATTAATAGTCACTTTTGTCGTGTAGCGTTTGGCACAAGTCATAGTCCATTCATCACTACATTTTCGTCATCCTGTCAATTATAGAACAATGGCATAGTGTTGGATTGCACACTGTCGTCAGTCTAAGGTAGCTATCGATCGCCTCGTTTGCCCTATGCGGAATCGGTAGGTGTTTGTCAAATATGTTCCTTATTGATTTTGCCCACTATGGATTCTTCAACCCAGTCGTTGGTCGCAACTAGTTACGATAATAATGCGATAACCAGTCGTGGCCATTACGGAAATATCGGAGTTGTATTAGCCTAGTCGTCAAATGTTCCACCTATCCGAGTACTCCTGTAAGACGATAATATAGCTGGCTATTTATAATGCGTATCAAGACAACATATGCTCCCTATTGCCACAGCAGCAGCAACTATTTTGTACGCCGAGATATTGAACGTAACAAGGTAGAATACATGAAATGCGGGGATACGATTATATAGAACATGCCTTGCTAAACGTATAGGACGTGACAGAAGGCAAATACTATTAGATAATTTCAATACTGACTATATTTTCAATACTACTGGTCTATGACAGATGAATTTATTAGCCAAGGTTTAGGGCTTAGCCAAAACATGGCTCTCTGGCGTACACACACATACACACACACACACGTTCTTTCTTGGTCCTAATTTTCGAGAAGGACAACTTTCCAAAGCGCACAGTCGTGGCGATCGCATTTTCTCGCTCTTTGCAAACGGCGCACAAACTCTCTATATGATAATTTCGTAGCGTTCCCATTTGGCCTATGAGTTTTTCCCTTTATCGGTCATACATTCACATGAAGTGATGTTTCGGTAGCCCAATGGACCAAAATCAATGTATTCTATAATTATAGTAGATCTCATTGCCGTTCCCACAAGGTGGCGCCACGCTGCAGAGCTGTTTCCCTTCAATGATACGAAATGCCCCATTGTTTCTGCTCTCCTTTGCATGTCTAGCAGCGATATGGTGCGGTTATTTTGTAACACTATCATTACATGTGTAGCAAATTCCGCCTTGCTCGGCCCTGTCAGCTCGTTTTTCTTCCTACAACGCATATTTCTGCCGCCTGTTTGGACGTGTCTATCGACTATCCAACAGTCGTGTCATGGAACCTGGCGTGCGGCGCCAATGTCTATGTAACTTTTTCCCTAAATACCTCCATGTGGTTAGCGTAGAGGCATCTGTCCTTTCGACTGACCGATGGTCTTCAGGCTTACGACATGTTGATGGTTCACTCGACCACGGTGAGCCGGTGCTGCTGATATTGGTGTAAAACTGACGGCTGTATCATTCGCCATCGGACCTATAGCGGAGTCGTCCGTTGAAAGAACGACCGTTATTACCCAATTACTATGGATGTTCTTGTTATTGTCGTTGTTCTTATTGTTATAACTGGTATTGTTATTATTTTCAGTATTATTATCAGCAGTATTACAACAATACCATCATATGTATCACGGGACGTCCTTAGAATGTATCGCTTTTGCGTTGTGAAATCGACGGCTGCGGGTCGCCTGCTAGCCAGAACGACGTCGCGTTGCTTCAAGATACAACAGGAATCAATATTGCGCTATTTATCACTGTGTTGACAGATTAGGTACGCACCAAAGAGAGAACTAAATAGTAATCGTTTGTTTCTAGAAGGATACTGGAATACTCATAAGTGGTTCTCCTTGTGCCTGGAAGAACACGGCGATGATGCATGATGTTCTTGTACTAATGAGATATGGATAATGTACAAGTTATTATCTTGTCTTTGCTGTACAGTTAGCTGACCCTATCAGTATAAGGCCGTTGGCACTATATCCATCCGTATAGTCGACGTTGGTGTGAGAAAGGAAAATTAGATGGCAGTGAGCAGAAGGTTTCCGCAGTTCATTTGTGACACCCACAATCGTAATAAAACGCTTAATGAACGACATTGATATTAAGGTAAGTCATGTTATGTAAAGACGATTTTAATAAAAAAAAAAAAAAAATAGTCGGTAAACTTTTCAACAGCGCCACTCATGAAGCATGTTCTCTGAAATGTATGTATATACATTTAAAAAGCATGTATCCTAATCAAATTTAAAATTAGAATTCGCTATAAATTTTTACTATACCTTCATCTTTGGCATTTCCAATACTTCATTCAATGGACTTATTGATGATGACGACACCTCAGATCTGGGAATCATTTTTCCCGGGTAATAGCTCTACTTTTCCACTGCACAAAAAGCATTTTTCATCTGAGCACTGAAATTTCCAACAATTTGCTTTTCAAACACGTAGAAGCAGCTAGTCATCATTAAATAAAGTGTACAAGATGAACATCTTGTGATTGTCCTCTTGACGGTCTACATATGCGCATCTTTCTCGACTTATTCGCCAATGAAGCTTGTCCTTCACTCAGAGCGATTTCGTCCTATTCAATTGTTTTGGCAAGCGTAATCTCGTAAATGGGTTTGCCGAAATGTCACTAGAATTTCTGTTGATTGGTCACTTGTTAAGAGCCTTATTTGTCGTCATCGGATTCTTGCGTTGTACGACATATAAAAATTACCCATTATAGCATATCATAGACTCACGCTGCTAGACGCGTTCGGCAGTATCGCATCTAGAATGAAACTTACAGCATGTAATGCTAAATCAGGTGACCGGTTAAAGTAGGGAAACCTAAACACGGACGGCATAAGGACTCGGCAAAGGCATGCTTACCCTTTTACTCTACACCAGCGGCCCTTTTGCTCTGTTGCATATTAGGCATATCCACTAACATATTAACTTGTTGAATTAACATTCGGCTAACATGTTGTGACCGACAATAAAAAAATATGTAAGATTGGCAAGAAGTGGGGCACGCCCTTATGAGGGTACGAGCGAGTGACTCAATCAATTGATAGCGGTCAAAGTCCCAGAATTTACGATATCCGTTCCCAGCTATATCTGCTCGTATATAAACATGTATCCTGTAGGCGTTTTCGGGCTTGAAGGAAAATTTGTCGCAGAACGAGCTGAGCCAATCGATTGAGGACGGCTTCAATGAAATTACAAGCCGCAGCCGTACTTATCATCAATAAGCTTCTACTAAACTCTTTCTTTTAAATCATGCAGGACGCCTTTCTGATGTTTACGCTATTCGGTCTATAATGTTCAAGTTTCATTTATCTGAGGCATCATACCGTCCGCGTCTAGATTGCCTCAGTTTAACCGGCCGCTTGACGCGGCAATAAATATTGTTAGCAATAAAGAAAAAAAAAAAAAAAGCCTTTTTTCTAGAAGTGACGCCGCCGAACGTCCACAGTAACGTCAACCTATGATGTGCTGTAATGGGTAATTTCTCCTTGCGTGTGCAAATATACAGCAACATCGTGGGTACGTCCGGGCTGTTCATTATCTCACCAGTTTTTGTCTATGCCGTGTTTTGTTATCTCTGTACCGTGCGGAACTGTCTAAATCTGCCATCGGCCTAAGGTCTTCATCTACGCAATTTGGATATGTCTATCGCCTGTGCCCACTCTGGACGCATGGAGTGAGGGTCGCTCCACTCCTAATGTCGGTAATAGTCCGCGGCGCAGAAACACGTGAGAATTACACGGTTACAACCTGAACGAGAATACAAGGGTAGTCACAGACGGTACCAGTAAGCAGTAACAGTAAATCGTCCCACCGGATTCTCGAATGTTTTTTCGGCCTGTTCAACTTCTGCTCAGCCGGCCACCAGGAATGTTTTAGTGGATGGCATCGCAATGAGCCCGTATCAGCATCATGATACGCCGTACCGAAATAGTGCGTACACAACAAAAATACGTATATGGAATAGAGCAACGGTTTTTTCGATGTATCACTTCGTTTCGATTGCCGTTGCCGTCATAGTTATCGTCATCTCTGACGACAGCGGCGACTCTTTTGGCTGTCGTTGTTGCTATTGTTGTTGTTGTTGTCATAGCAGCTTTTCTTGAATCGTCATGATCCACCGTCTGGCTTCATTCGTTGGGTTGAGACTACGGGACTTTTGCCCACAGCAGATATGTCCAGAATTGTCCAGACGGTGCGTACGTCGCACCACATGCGAGTAATCGGACGATGTCAATGGCGAAAGCAGTAGAATAGAAGCATGGACACCAAACTACTCTTGAACACGCACTGAAGACTCTCGTGCGCTTCTGTTACAGACGATACAAGTGTGTGCGCGAGTCTGTGCCATTGAACGCGTCATCTACACAAATACTACTTAAGCTACGACGGCGGCTTGCTAAGTACAGCTGCTGCCCACGCTCTTGGCGCCCTCGGCAGCCGACGCAGGACTTTGTCGAGAATTCGAATGTGAGCAAAGCGCGCACGATTTCGTATGCAGGCGTCTGCCAACAATGAATGTCGCCAAATATGAATAGTAGAGAACACCCGCGCGCCTGTTTGCTAACTGGTCAATTCATAATCGACAAACGATCGTCCATGCTTTTTGGGGTGCTGTTGCGAAACGCAGAACAGAACTAGCTCAGTGCAATCATGGAGCGTAGACCGTAGCCGCGCAGCACCGATCTATATAATTTGCTACACTCCGCAGCGTCGTCAGCGCAGTCCCGTAGTGATGTAATACGGTTGTTGCGTTTTACGGAATAACGTGTCGTGTGCTGGTGATGACAACGAACTAGCTTGCGGGAAATATACGTATGTATAGCGTGGCCTAGATGCGTGTTCACGTGGAAAGCAGCGGGCACAATCATTAGGGTTGTGGCGGTAGATCGAAGTATACTCTAAGCTTGAATGTTTCTTCGCGTTAAGAAATGACTTTTGTCACCACATGTGGGTCGGTATGGCATGGGGTTGGGAAGCAATCCTAATCACAGTAATAAGAACAATAGCAACGATAATAACAACATTAGCGCTATGCTACCGCGGGCCAAATTTCGAAAAAAATCTTAACAATTTTAGGACACGTACTAATCAACTTAAAGGCCAAAGCAAAACATTGGATTTTATGAGGAACACTTTGTTGTGTTACCGTTGATGTACGGCGGTGAAATCGATTTTGTTTGTTATTTAGCCATTGGTGTAAGTAACGAAATGATATTCTGTCGCCGTTTGGATGAGCAGTATATGAAGATTACTGCGTAGAATTTTATATGTATCTAGCATGTGTCTGTTTGTACTACGTTCTGTATTAACGATTGGTCTCTTCCACCTGTACAAATACAAAATGATCCAATGCAAAAACAGTTAGACCTGAAAAAATGATATCGTACCCTGTGGTCCAACACAGGAAAGATGACTCACTCATCTTCTTTCCTTATTGGGCCATTCACAGCCTATGTAAATCAATACGTTTTAATGGAACGCAAAAGCAGACGCTAAACCAACATCCTTTACTCGTCGTACAATGTTTACAGTGTTTTGGAACACCGCAGCTTTTTTTCGTTTCGCAGGTTTTTCGTTATGTACGTAGGTGACAAAGTATTTAAGTGGCTCTATCTGACAGATGCGCTGCCATGACCAGTTGCTTAAACAATCGATGCAAACATTTACCATGGCGCACTACAGGCTTCTCATAATTTTCGTCGCTCGTAACATTCAGCTATCATACTACTGCTATTGGTGCCGACTTCGAAGGTGTATACGAGCAACATCAGAAGACTCTTCTGCTATCACCACTGTATTTTGCTGGTCCACAGAAGCATCGGATAGAACAGCTGTTGACATGGCGTCATAACGCCCCATTACCACACGTTCTCAATCAGCACGTCTCCTATGAAGATATGTATAAGCAGAATGCATCTAGAGGACACAGACATGCCCATCCAATACACTACATTGTTACGGCTACCAATCGGCAAGAATTCACGTTCGTGAGTCTTAACCTCGCTATATTTTTAAATTTTTCCCTTAAAAGACTACTCTGAGAAATAACACCTGCGCCAGCAACTTTTGGGGCTCAAACACGATCTATTGTGGAAGCTTCCTTCGATTGCAAAGAGGCAGAGAGAGAAAGCCTAGGGGGCTCGTCAGCGAGAAGTGTTCTTGTCAGACGATCGACGACGATTTATCTTCGAGTCTCTGATATTTATAACCCTAAATTGCCATTATTATTCATACTTTACCGCCCCACGACGTAATCGCTATCGTGCATTCACGGGCAGATCCAATGCTCCACTTGGTCGATGGCTCCGAAAGTACTATTACTACCACCGTTATTATTATCTGTGATTTCGATTTTCGACTGTGAGGGCAAAGCGAAAAAACGAGGGAAAAAGACATGCAGCGCAGGGACACGAAGAGAGCATTTTAGGACAAGGAAATTTCTTAGCAACCCGGGATCATTATTTGACGCGGCCCTGCCATAATGCTTTTATTCAATATATAGATTTTATCTGAAAGCATATGTTGTTCCAACGATGAGGGACGGCGATGGGTTAGTTGTTCGGCCTAGTACGCAAGTGATCTTAGGACACCAAAAGGGTGATGGAAGGATCGCGTTCAATTTCCTCAATTCCGAACAGCCTGTTCTGTATTTCGCGCACTTTATAAGTGGCTAATACAAATAAGGTGACGTACAACTTGATGACATTATTTAACTCGTATGTTCAGAGTACTAAATATCTCATTTAGGCTTTTCGTTTTTCTATGTTTAACTATGAAAAATGCGAGATAGTTTCTGGTAAAGATAGATTATTAGCAAGCGGCCCATGTCCAAAATGGTTTCGACACACTATCTAAGTGGTTGATGAAGACCTATAATGACGACATTGATGATGATGATGATTAGATGAAGTAAACTTGCCCACTATTGGCATCAAAGGATCTGTTTGTTTAGAACATTGCTGTCAAGCTTGAGCGTATCATACACACAAATGATTTCAGTATAGCGCGTATAGTGGCAGTATAATGGTTCATCAATTGACTAGTCGTGTTGATCACTCGGGGCTACTCTGCTAACGCGAGCAAATCTTCTC